GGGGAATTGAAGTTACATTTATCAAGGACCGGTATGGCCTGGGTCAATTCTTTCAAGTTTCCTTTAAAAAATCAAAGTTGGTGGGTCAGCGCGAAACATTGCAGCGCAGCCATGCGCAGCCAACCCAAAAAATGACGAAGTCCACAGAAGATGATTTCTGCAACGCAAACATCTCGCCCTCCAAAAATTTGATGTCTTGGACCTCAAACAATCTCCAACATCTTGCTCCAAGATGCGAAAACGCTGCGCCTGCCACGTAAAAACGCAACATTTCCAGCCGTCTTCAGATCCACCACGCCTGCCAACATTTTTGCCACGCAAAACGACGTTCAAACACCCAAAAGTGGCCCGAGACGGTCAGTTTTTTTTTAACACTGTTTTACACTTTGGATATCTGTTGATTTCGAAAGCGTTAAAACGCCAGGCGTTTTGAAACTTTTTGGAAGTTGAACATCCAAAACACTTTTGATTTCCTAATCGTTAAAACACGTTGCGTTTCGACACTTTGTGGAAGGTTGAACTATTTTGAACTTCCAAAAGTGCGCAGAGCATGAGTCTTTTTAACACGTTTCATTTCCAAATCATTAAAGCACCTAGCGTTTTCACACTTTTAACCACTCAGCTCGCCAGATAGCTCCTCACCCTCCCTTTTAGCAAGCCTACCTTTTGACCTCCCGGAACTATAATACATTGGGAAAACACAATGTTTCGCGACTTTCCTAGCATTTCGCGCGACTCTTTCTCTCCTGCTCTTCTCTCTTCTGAATGAATCTCTCTCTCTTCTCTCTCTGTCTCTGTCTCTGTCTCTGTTTCTGTCTCTCTCTCTCTCTCTCTCTTTCTCTCTGTCTCTCTGTCTCTCTGTCACTCTCTGTCATTCTCTGTCATTCTCTGCCATTCTCTGTCATTCTCTGTCTCTCGTCTCTCTGTCTCTCAGTCTCTCTCTCTCTCTCTATCTCTCTTTCTCTCTGCTGACTCGTCGCATTGACCTAGCTGCATCTTTCAATATGTCAGAAGTTTGACATCTAAACTTCCTTCGATAGGAATATCATGGAATATCTTAGCCAATATAGGCCGCAAATGATCACAAATGAGAAGTTCCAAAACCATCATGAAAGTACATGGTTAGCTTATGGTGGGTTGAGGTTGTGAATGATAGGGTTTCGAAGTTCTACCAAAAACTAATTGCGAATGCCTATTGGCCCAGCCCAATCCCCTGAATGATGCAGCCACTTCATCCATTTCCAGTCACTGATTCCGAAGTGAGGATGGGACAAGGCAGTACCAAATCGTGGTCTGCCGGGAAACCGCATTGTCCAAGCCGACTTTTGGGATTGTGTTGACCGTCTATCGTGCATCTGTGTCGCGAAAGGCTGGTGGAAACAGGCGATCATCGGTCATGAAGCTGATGCCGATCGCAACACCGGCGCCTCACTGCAGTGCAATTCACGTGGCAGTCCTCACCCCGTTGCAGATTTTGCCTTGCAACTCTCTTGAGCTTGAGGTGAATGGTCTGTCACGCGTGCGCCGGCTCAATCCACACAGCGAGCAGGTTCTCTTTGAAGTTCCAGCTGCCCATTGGAGTGTGAAGGAGACTTGGCGCTAATCATGGCCTATATGGACTATACGATTGCCGTTGCCATATGTATTGCTTCCATATGCCTCCCAATAGCATCCATTTCAAACTGGGCAAACACTGTGCAAGTCCTTGGTGGTCTAAAGTCAGTGAGCATCATCACATAATATCACATGCATCGATCAGGGATGAAAGGCACTACAAATCAATGAACAAGAGTAAAAAAGGTTGAGAAGATCACAAGCTTGGTAAGCCATTTTGTCATATATATTTTTTTGCAATTGCAGCTCATCTAGTGGACCCTCATGTCTAGATCTTCTGAGTTCTGAGGAGTTCCGTGATCTTTTTTGCTAAACGAGATCCTATAGATGATCCTTGTGGAGAAGTCTTGTACTTTCCTAGAATAGGTCTTTGTTTGGGGGGCCTTTCGGTTCTGGTTGTTGACAAAGCCTGCGCACAGTGATCTTGTGCAATCACGCGGGTTTCCGCAAAGAGCCCTGATCCCCATGCTTTTTGAACTTCCTTGCCATGACACTTCATCTCAATGGTTTGGATTTCCTGGGTTCCCACCTGGTTTTTTTTTGCTTCGCTCCATTTCCCTCCGCTGACTTCCCTTGGAGGAAACCATCTTTGGACTGACAGTCACAATGAGCGAAAAGGCTGCCCAAGCTGCAATCAAGTTGCGGAGTGTCCCGGTCACGATGGACCTGGCCAAGGGAAAGAACTCCAGTGAAATTGCTAAAGCAGCACATTTCACGGAAGAAGATTTCTGTGGGGCAAGCGCCAGGAAGAGCGTTCCTTTGTACGTGAAGGTTCTCCATGAGCATCTTGGCTTAGCTCAAGATATAGTTTCTTGAGCCATCAGACCAACAAAATTATCGCATGCCATCACAACATGCATCACGACAGGAACCACGGCAGGTTTTCCACCCATGAGAGAAACAAATCATAGCAAATCACAAGCTTTTCCAGATATGCTCAACTTACGATATCTAAAGCATTGGTGTCGAAGATGTGGTTTCCATATCCTGCTGCTTGCCTAGGATGCACAAGTCCGAGTGCAGCAGGTACAGCTTGAGAATGGACGAGCTGTCTGCCAGGGCCCATGGATTTCTTCGGGGCCAGTGGAAAGGAAAGGCTTCAGAGATTGGCAGCTACATCCTGACCGAGTTCCGAAAATGTATTGATTCTGCAGATGAGTTCAAGTCCTTCCTAAGGAATGTTGACAAGTTTGGGCCACCAGTGCTGCCGGGGGCTTGATGAAGCAGAGCAGCAGCTGCCACTCACTCACCCACGCACTCGCTCACTCACTCAATCTCACTCACCCACTCGCTCACTTATTGACAAACCCAGTAACACATTCAACCATCTTGATTTGTGAAGAAAGCAGCGGCTGCTCTATGCTGCCCTCGCTTCATCAACTTTGGGACGCCCAATACCAATTCCTGGAGCCTGAACATCCACTTTAAAGATCTTTAAAGTGACCGAAAGCCAAGGTTGAGTCAGAATTGGTCTTTCATAAAAACATTGAAAAAGTGGCCCTTTGAGTTGTTTTGAAGTGTATATGCGGAATCGTTTTCGATTGTTGCGCAAACTCTGTTGGAAAGGTGATGTATGGTAATGTGCTTCGTTATTCATCGTTGTTCGAACTTTGCAGTTCTAGAGAGACATCCACTTTTCTACCAGAAGCGTGCACTTTTCATAGAAGAAACCTTCACTTTTTCCCAAGCAAAACACCTGCTTTAAGGTGGTCGTTTAAGGTTCCAAGATGACATCTTGGGGAACATCTTGACAATGGATGGCGACGGGGAAAAAGAAATTGAAGCATCGCAGCGGGAGAGCGTGGGGCATTTTCAGTCAGCTGAAAGGTTGGTTTCATTTAATTTCTACTGTAAAGTTCATTACATAATGTGCATCAAAATATGCAGATGGAATATATTTGGTGGTGTACCAGCCTTGTTGGCTACCATTGGTGTGCCAGCCTTGTTGGCTACCATTTACATGTATATATATATATATGCATATATATATTATTATTATATATTTATATATTACTTCTACAAATGCAGAAATGTACGAGAGGGGGGGTCCCCCCCCACAATCAGGAGGGATGATGGGTAGATGGATAGATGGATGGATGATGGATAGATGGATGGTTGGATCGATAGATAGATGAATGGATGGACAGATAGATAGATGGCTGGATAGACAGGTAGATGGATGGATGGATAGATGGATTGATGGATAGACAGATAGATGGAAGGATGGATGGATGGATGGATCGATAGATAAATGGATGGATCGATAGATAGATGGATGGGTGGACAGATAGAGAGAGGGATGGGTAGATGGATAGATAGATGGACGGATGGATCGATAGATAGATGAATGGATGGATGGGTAGATAGATAGACAGATGGGTGGATAGATAGATGGATGGCAATGATAGATGGACGGATGGATGGATGGATAAATAGATTCATGGATGGAGGGATGGATAGATGGAGGGATGGATGGATGGATGGATGGGAAGATAGATGGACGGATGGATGGATAGATAGATAGATAGATGGGTGGATGGTTCGATGAATGGATGCATGGATGGATAGATAGCTGGATGGATGCATGGATAGGTAGATGGATGGATGGATCGATAGATAGATGGATAGATGGACGGACAGATAGATAGATCGAAGGACGGAAGGATAGATAGATGGATGGATGGATCGATGGATGGATGGATGGATGGATGGATAGAAAGATGGATGGATGAATGGATAGGTAGATGGATGGATGGATAGATGGATGGTTGGATAGATGGATGGATGGACAGATGGATGGATGGAAAAATAGATAGATGGATGGGGGGACAGATAGATGGATGGATAGATAGATGGATGGATGGATGGATAGATAGACAGATATGGGCACAATTTCAGATTGCCATTTCATCCCCTGATTTATGGTTTGATATGTTTCATCATTCTGAAGTGGGCATATCTTACCCAAAAATGACCACAATACAATATTAGTTACACCCTCATTCTCTCACAATAGGGTAGATGCATCAATTGGGCGGAATCTTCAGTGTTGGGCAGAGTTGGGCATACCTGTATTTTTGGGTGGTATTTATATAATCTGAAGGGGGAAGGGATTACAAACACGACAACATGTTTTTTTTCGGACGTTGTGTTTCTAACAAAAAACTCAGTTTGGCAGCCTTGATGAAAAATCTCGTGTAGAGGGGTCCGCTATTTTACACATGTAATCATTGGTATAACATCTTCACACTTTAGGCGAATCAGAACTCTACCCTCTGTCAGTTCTCAACTGAACTTTGCCCATCACTTATTTCTTCGTGACACCCCCATCATTTCAGTAACTCTGTAGCCAGTCGTGTCACCTTAGATAATCCCAAGCTCAACAGGCAGTGGGTCCTCATCGAATGTTGCAGTGCTGGTACCAACAGCTTCCACATCGAGTACCGTGGCTCCCACCCCTTGCACAGAAGGAGAGGGTCCACCGACCAACTGCAACTGCCGAGATTTGTGGGTTGGATTCTGATGTCGTGTTGGCTGATGTTGGTTCTACAGTTCTACCCCCTTCGGGCTTGTCTCAAACCGGTATATTGATTATCATGAATTGATGATATTGATGATTGGGGGCAAATTGATATATAAAGTATGAATTATATAATATTCTATTGAATCCAGATCCAGGTTGCAATGAAAAACTATAGTGGTTATCAATTATTGTTACCTTTATGAATTGCTATGAATGGATGAAAATCTCTTGGGGTCGCAACCGGGGTCCCGTTTTCTTCTCGGTGAAACTCCGGTGAAATTCCCATGACACATCGAACCGCCTGGCCTTAGGCGTCCAATGGTTCGGTTGCAATTTATAAACCACTATAATAAAGTATAGTTAGCAACCACTATAATAGTCAAAAAAACAAAGATATATGCATATATATATATTTATCACCTTTGTATGAAAATATTACTACAAATGATAACCACTATAAGAATAATTTCCAAAGGTGATATATATATATATACTATAGTGGTTGTCATTCGTATTAATTCATAAAGGTAACAATAACTGATAACCACTATAGTATATATATATGATATAACGTGCTCAACTGTACAGTGACGACTTCTTGTCCTTTTTGTTGTTTTGTTTTCTCGAATCCTTTGCGAAACAGCATGGCCTTCAAGCCGAGTGCAGATAGATAAACAACTATGTGGACTTCGAAGATCCAAACTGCTCACTGGATGTCCACTGGATCAACAACAAATCCAATGGATCATATTGGTTTATCACCTCTCCCCCAAACCCAAAAAATGCAGTCGCGATGTACTTGCATGTGCATCTCAGTTAGTAAGTGGTTAATAAGCACAGTATACTCCAGTTCGAAGCATATAAATATGAAAAAAAACATGAAGTAGTTATTCCAATAAATATTCCCAGTTGCTCACTAATCCCACCCCGCTGAAACTAAACACCCGCAATATCGTCCCGAAGATGTTTTCCAACCCCTTACATCCACCATGGTTTCTGAATGGGGGAAAGGATAGCATCCCTAATCCCATCCCAGTCATTTTTAGTTAAGTCCTTGGTGATGGCTATATACTATTATACTATATATACATCTACCATGATCTACTAAAATTCTATATATTTCATTACATATAATATCATATAATCACTATGACTTGGGATGTATCCCGTCAGTTCAGTACACTACGGGTGCTCTTTGTAGGAGCTGCTCCGTTTGTTGGACCTCTTTCCCGAAGCCGTAGCACTGCAGCGGACATCGACAAAGACCACGGCCTCGCCCATCGCTGAGGCGCCATGGGGAGGTGGTGGAGGATACCTTTGGGATGATATCCCTTTGGGTTATCATAATCCCCAATAGCTCATAATTACTCTAAAGGATTCTAATGGTATCTATAGTAATGATAAACTTAAGGTCTCGGTATAACCTATTTTGGTTAAGCACATATATATATATAATATATATATATATGTATATGGGTTATAATTCAGCCATTACAGATGATCAACCAATCAACCAAGGTATCTGTAACCCATCAATATACCAATATTGTTAAAATAAATATGTACGCCATCCCTATTGGTCAATTTATTGGTTAATAACTCTAGACTAACCAATCAACCAAGGTATCTGTAATGGCTCAATTCTAACTTGGAGGAAACACCATGGCTCAAAGCATGCAAATGTGGGTAAAACAGTGCCATAAACCACTAATTTGGGAATGCTAAACATACCACCTCTAAAAATGGTGATGACTGGGGGGATGGGTTATGGCATTGTTGTAACCTAATATTATTAAGACATATTAAGACTATCTTGGTTGATTGGTAATTAAATTATAGGGATTTTCTCTATATGTGGTTTATTGGGGATTCTATTGGGTTCATTTATCATCTATTAGAATTAGATGGGATACAGATATTGTTCATGGCTCATTTAGTGAAGGCCGATACTTTCCAATAGAGTGTGTCTGAAAATGAGATCTTCATACATGGGCATTTACGTTGCGAAAACGATGATAAACGGATTCGGGGTACCCTAGTTTCAGACAAACCATGACAAACAAATATATTTATGCGGACAAATGGTAGTTTCTTTAAATGGGGGATCCCCCAAAACCACAGGTTTCAATTTCAATACCCAAATGGTCCCACTTTGGTGTTTCTGGCAATGACTTGATGATGTTTCGGGCTAGACTCCCGTCACAACGACCATCGCCGGAAAGCTGACAGCTATGACAATGTGGACCGCCTGGTGCAAATGTTTGGGATGCATAGACTCACTGGAATGATGGTTAGTAAGGGGAATCATCGATTAGTGGCCTTATGTCAGGTCAGTGAAATAGTATAATTTACTCGGATAGACATGCAAAACACCTAAATATCCATAGAATTGAGTTAGATGGATGTTAAATCCTTATGTCGGTGTCTTACACATATGAACATTGAGTCATATTGACACTTCGCAACCTGGCCAAGTGTTTGGAGTCTTGACATGATTTGACCGACATTCTAGTTTTGCAGGTCAACTTATCGACGGGTGTCATTGGATACAAGTGTAGATGGGTATATGCATGGGTCAAACTGTCGCCCAATTTTCGCTGGAAATAACTTATGTGTATATATATATATGTACACAAATTCATATGGCTATGGATGAATACCCAGCCTATAACATACATGTTTTAGGCTTAGGGCTGTGAACATCCATAAATTTCAGTTGTTTTGATGTGAACTACAGGCTTCTAAAATGTTCACTCACAATAATATACCAGTATTGTATCCTTACCCACATATACCGTGCCAGAATCGCTTCTGTAAATGTGTTCTACATATCTTTATTCTTTGGACAGGAAATCCCACGAAGTCAGCGGCTGTTTCTCCATCAGTTGGGATGTGCCATGACTCTTGGGACCCTTGATGCGACCAGAGCCTTGAGCCAGAGGTGATCAACACTGCAGCTTTGAGGAGTGAGAACAATCTACAACAGTAGACTGCTGCCTTGAAACTTTGAAAATATAATTTATTATATATATATATATATATTATAATATTATATATATATATATATTACAAAAGTATGTATATTTATATGTTATAATATTTGTTTTATATTCTATAATATTATATGTGTTTTAATATTATATATGTATATATTGTATCTATATAATATATTTAATATTTATATAATATATATATATATTTAATATTTATATAATATATATATATTTATTGTATTGATATAATATATTTAATATAGTATATATATATACATATCATAGGTTATTATGTATATAATATTTTGTTATATATATATATATATCATATTTTTGTATATTTTTTTTTAATATCGTAGGTTATTATATATATCTTTTTTTTGCTATATATATATATATTCAATAATATATATATATATATCATATGTTTAATATATATATATACTATATATATATATATACTCTCTCTCTATATATATATATTATAGTGCTTAGATCCATGAAATCGCCCAGTTCGCATAGTTATTAGAGAATAAACGTTAAAACAGCCAGTCACCAAAATTATACGGTGTAAAACAAGCCAACTTAATTACATTCAAACACCTATCTACATCGCGGCCCCCAAGTAAAAGTTGGTTTAAAACTCCATCGAAATATAGTTAGTAACTACTGTAAGGACCCATTTATCCTTGTTATACACCCATTTTAGCTGCTGTAACTATGGGGAACCACCCTGCATGATCAAGAATGGGGCACCATTTTGTGCGATCAAGAACAATGACATAACTCCTCAAAAAGTCGGTCGCCAAAGTTGAAGGCATATACCGACATATCGCAGTATTCAAACATGGCAATTGGTGTCCAGCAAAATCTCGCTTTTAGATGATTTTCCCAGCTATAAACCCTCGAACTGGTTGAGGCCACAAGTCATCAAGCACTGCTGCTCTGCGGCACCCTGACGCGATTGTTGGAGGTGCGATCGAGTGAAGATTTGACCAAGAGTAACGGTTATAAAACGGGGTTAAAAGCTGACAATAATGTTAGTAATGGGGATGTTTATTCCGTTATATGTGGGAGAAACCAGGAAATGGAAACTTCACCGGGCTTCTTGAGCAGTTTTTAAGTGGAATGTCAAGTGTCATCAAACATGGCGGGCCGCTGGGAAATCCCCGGACAGCCATGTTTGACTAGCACAGATCCCACCATTAATCATGCTGGTTGGTGGTTTCAAACATGGCTTTTATTTTCCATATTATATATATATACTGGTTGGGGGTTTGGAACGTGTTCTATTTTTCCATTTCATATATGGGATGTCATCCTTCCCATTGACAAGCTCATATTTTTCAAGATGGTTTAGGTCAACCACCAACCAGCATCATGGTAAGTCATGGAGAATAGATAGCTGGTTGGCGGTTTGGTAATGTCATCATCTCAACTGACGAACTCATATTTTTCAGAGGGGCAGGTCAACCACCAACCTAGTCATAGCAATATTGGCTGATATGATTTTGGGAAAGTCATTTAATGAACTATCAATGGGTTCATAATCCTAGCCATATTTGATAATCATGGTAAGTCATGGGCTGATATGATTTTGGGGAATCTATTCAGGATTTAATCAATGAGACTGAACATCGGCGGGCAAGCAACGTCGCGTCTCGTCAAAGGATTGATCTTCTGAGTTGACCCCAGAGAATTTGCTGATTTTGGTGGCAGATTCACCAACAAAGATGTGGATCAAAAACTGACATTGGACACGAAGTGATGATGACATTGGGTGACTCTGGCCAACCATTAGGTCTGGGCAACTTATCACGACTTTTCACCGACCCCATAATTAGTCATGGTACTCCTGAACATCCAACTGGCAAGAAAAATGGTTGGTGTTTGTTCATTTGCAACCATATTTGGGATGATGATTCTCAATGACCAGTTTTTTTTGAGGCGTTGGAACAACCAACCATGTCTCATTTCACGTTTTAATTGGCCCAAACGAGTTCATATGGCAATGGGCGATGGGTCACTACGGAGCCAGCATGCCAGAGTGAAATGACCCTTAAGCCTATTCGCTACATCTATAGTAGTGGGGACTGATCATACCTGGAAACAGGAGATAATAGTTTAATAGAGTTAATTGTAACGGTTGCCACTCTTATTTTGTTTACTGATTAATTTTGGTGATCATGTTCATTATGATGGTGAAGGTGACGATGAAGATGACGATGAAGATGACGATAATGATGACGATGATGATGATGATGATGATCATTATGTTCATGATCTTGATCATGTTCACCATGTTCACCATTTTCACCATTTTCTCACTTTCTCCGTGTTTATTATTTTCTTGATTATTTGGTCCATCGTCGCTCTGACACCGTGAGGCGCAGCTGCGAAGCGAGCCCCGCCAGTCGGTACAAGTCCTTCCAGGTCTCTGTCGGATGATGGTGGAACTAGTCATGGGGGATCCCCCAAAATTATTTCATAATTGTTGCTGGTTGATAAATGATGTTTTATGGATATTTAATACTATCTATATAATGATATTTATGGTTATTATTGGTATCAATGGTTATATGGGGGGGTTTTAAAAATGGGGGATCCGCAAGTCACAATAGTTAATATAGTTAATGGGGAACATAATTACAGTTAATGGGGATATACTGTAAGTATAGCAATCCATTAGAGGAATCCCTAACAACGTATCGTTTTTTTTTAAGTCATGGCAGGTCCCAAGCCGCCACCATGGTTGTTTCAATACTAAGTCATGGTCTGATTTCATTTGGGATGATTTGGAGATACCCCCATGACTTCGGAAACCTCCGTTGAAACCATGAAAAAGATCGGGTGAAACCATGAAAACAAATGTCATGTCGCCATCACAAATATGTGGATTTTACCTATGTTAAACACACCAGATTCCACCTGTAAGAATCTGAGCTCAAGCGCGGTGGGAAGCAGCAAACCATTGGGATGTAGTTCTAGTTGGCACCAGTCCCACAGACGGCCGTGTCATTTTCTACTTTTGTTTTTTTGGTGGATTTGGGTTGGGTGGGGTGGGGCAATAACGTTCATTCCATAGCCGTCTTGTCACGGCTGAAAAATGAAGCGTCCCAGTGCACAACCGTAGCTACAGCTGGGAAGAAGTATCGTGGTCGTCCAGCTGCCCGTCTACCGAGCCCTGCTGTAGTTTTTGTCTGCCGTGTTTTGGGGCCACCCTTGAAACTCCCAGATTTGTTGTTTCAGCCAGCAGTTTTGTCGCTTGACCATTGGTTTTCTTTGTAGAACCCCGATAAATTTGTTGATTATTTTGATGGCAGCGGCACTTGTCCAGTGCTAAAACGCGCGTGGTTTTAAATGGCCAAATCATGCTAAATTCAAATTTTTGTTGGAACATCCCAAGATAGAGAGTAATATGTGCTGTTTGAAGCACCAGTTTTGCAAGTTGAACCAGGTTAAACCACTTTAAATCAACTTAAACCATTGTTTGTCCCTTGAATCCCCACCTTTCGGATCCTGTCGGCTGGACCTCCACGGTTTTTTTCCTCCAGGGCAGCTGGCCACGGGCCGTCGTTTATCCACCTCCGCCTCCATCGTGATGTCCTCCAAGTCCAAGAAGCGCGGGGGAGCAGTTGGGGAAATGGTTTGTTTCACGGTGAATTTCTGAATATTGGTGTCCACTTAAGTGCAGGATACCAAATGGTTTGTGTATATTATAGTATATAAAATAATATAGTATCATTTTTTTTGTGAAAGTTGGATGCTTGCTTGCATACTTAAATTGTTGGACTATTTTTGCCAACAAAAGGGTAATCTGCAGATTATCTCCTCGACTAGCAGCAAGAGAGATGCTTATTTGGTTCATCCATTGAATTGCAGCCACACCATAGCTGAAACACTTCAAGTTGAGTCAAACATGGTGAAAACATAGAAGAACACATTGGATTTCCACAGATTTCCTATGATTTTATCCCTTGGTCATTGATCCAAACTGCAGGATCCCTACGAACTCACCCGGTCGGCTCTCGTTCCCAGGGAGAGCTTCATGGCTCGTTCCACTCATCAAGGGACGCGCGCAGCGGGAACGTTGACCTTTGACTATGTCCGCTACGTGCAGTCCTGCCACTTGCTTTTGCCCTGTTTTTCCTGGGTGTTTATCGTTGCATATATGGATCTCATTGAATTTCACCAGCTATGATAATATGATACATAATATGCGTGTGTGTCTAAAAATGGTGGATTCACCCTAAAATGGCAATTTTAATACAGTAAATGATGATTATAGCTATAACATGCTATAACCAATGGGACCCATATGCGCCCATGGTCAAGTTACTTAAATAACTTGCCGATGATTGAGGGATGGTCGTCCATGTTTGGATTCCCATTGTGGGATGCATGACCCTACACCACATTCATCCCACATTTTGACCGTGGCAGATTGACATTTGCGTTGAACTGCGTTGGTCAAAAACTCCAATATTTTTTGTGAATCATCACCAAATTTCACTTCCCCAATTTATGCCGTTTTCTGACCATTGAGCAATGTAAAACAATATCAAATTTAATAAAACATCCAAAATGTGGTGGGGGGATCCCAGCATTTTCAGACAGGCCCGCGTTTTTGTAGACGACATGTCACCATTTTTAATGCAGCTGGTGTGGGTTTTGTTTCGATATCTGAAGTTGGTTGATTTCACCCGAAGTCCAAGAAGTTGATGTTGAAATATGTTGAAATCCATCGTCCCAGACTTGAACTGAAGATTTTACACATGGTAACGGAAAAAAACATGGTTTCCTGGAGATGTTCCCTTGAAACTATGGGGGATCGTGGTTTCAACCAGGCTATGTCTTCTGTCTTGCCTGGACTTTGTGTGTGGGACCTCTTGGAGTTTCCCTGCAAGCGCTTCACACATGGCTGCAGGCGCTTTGAACACTCAAATCGATGTGGAAGCTTGCCACCAATGTAGATCATGGATGTAAACCATTGCTTTTCATGGGTTTTACGCCTTTATGTTTATATGTGCGTTCAAGATGGTTCAAAATCGGGCCACTTTGATAGTAAACATCATGAACCACCGGATTTTGTGGTTCCCCCCTTTTAGGCCAACCCCAGCTACAAACAATGAAGATTGACTCATCAAAACAATGACCGACCGCCTTTGGTAATGAAACCCTTATCTTCAAGAACTTGTTATCAATGGAGATACATTCGAAGATTGTCAACTGTTTGGTTAGACTGCAACGGTGTGAATGGGGAAACCTTCATCCTAAGAAAAACTCATGTTTATTGGAGAGGGTGGCACACAAGTGTTTGTAGAAGTATTTGAATGGCTGGCCATTGTGAGAGATGGGTCAATACCCCTTGTCGTTTGCTCCTTTTGATAGGGGAGCAATGTCGATAAGCAGGCCTAGATAGTTGCATGATCCTCTCCTCAAATGGAGGGTACCCCAAATGATCCAAAATTAGATCAGTTTATATATGTGTATAATATATATATATAGTATTGAAACCTACGGCAATCTATGTCTATGGCAGACCTGGTGGGTTTGGGGATCTCCCATTTTAAGACAGCCCCTAATATATTTCTGGGTGTAATTTTTCACTGTCCCTTCCTCATGTGGCTGACTGCTCTGGGCTGACTTTCCAACGCAGGTCAGTGCCATTCACATTACGAGCAGTTGAACCGTTTCTACCTCGAAACCGCATGCATACCATGTATCCTTTGTGAATGTTTGATCCATGTTTACAGTCAAAGTAGCCATCAAGATAAACACATACCAACAGTTTGGGTTGAAATCTTCATTTTTGTGGCAACTAGAGGCATTTAGCCGGTCCCGGCATAGCCTTTTCCAAAGCAGCCTGGACCCCTGGACCTTGAATTCCCAAACACCATGGCTTTAGTTGCCAACTTGGAAGTACAGTTCCAGTTATTTTGTGGATCTATCACTATAGTCATGGAGGTGATATCCCAACTTATGGGGGCTTACTTCACCATTGTTATACCATGTTATACGTACCCATTTGTAACCCCAATCGCACCTCCAAGAAGCCATCCATTTTCTGCTCAGGGACCAGTGTCCCGCCAGGGGAAGATCCAGGACTTTCAGCTGCCACGAGGTTGTCACAGGTGCGCCGGAAAAACGGCACAGTTTGTGTGATGGTAAACGGCTAAAAAGATCTCATCACCTGAGAACTAGGGTGAATAAAGCCACCATTTTGTCATATGCAGTTCTACTATAGTGATACTTGTACATGAGTGATTTATCTCACTTTTGGTAATTTCAAGTTATTTCAAACATGACTAATTAGTACGTTTATATCTTATGGCCATCCTCTCCAGATGCGCAGCGCAGGCTCACGGACGTGTATGTGGACTGGTCAGTGCAGGAGGGTTTGACTTTTTGTTTGGGCAGAGTAGTGGTGGTTTCATCAAAGGCCCAGTTTTATGCGAACGATAATCCCCCAAATTGTTGTGGTTAATACACCTTGCCATGCTTTACTTACTATATAATTGGTAGTTTCAAACATCGGCAATTTTTAACCCTAGAAATGGAAGGAGGGGGATGATCCCAACGGGCGGGCTCTTTGGCAGGGGGTTGGAACCATCAACCCGACATGTATCGGGCTTATCCAGCAAACATAAACATGGGGACGAGCCAGCTACATAGACTGACACAATAAACTACTACTACTACTACTACTACTACTACTACTACTACTACTACTACTACTGCTGCTATTGCTACTGCTACTCTTACGACTACGACTACGACTACTCACTCCTACTTCTGCTCCTACTCCTACTCCTACTCCTACGCCTCTCCACTCCCACTCCTACTCCTACTCCTACTCCTACTCCTCCTGCTACTACTACTACTACTGCTACTACTACTACTACGACTACTACTACTACTACTGCTACTACTACTACTACTACCACCACCACCACCACTACTACTACAAAACAACAACAACAACAACTGCTACTACTACGACGACGACGACGACGACGAAGACGACGACGACGACGACGACGACGACGACTACAACTACCACTACGACTACGACTACGACTACGACTACGATGACTACTAGTACTACTACTAGTACTAGTACTAGTACTACTACTACTACTATTACCACTACCACAACTACGACTACGGCTACGGCTACGACTACTACTACTGCTACTAGTAGTAGTAGTACTGCTAGTAGTAGTACTACTACTAGTAGTAGTAAGACTACTAGTAGGACTATTACTGCTGCTACTACTACTAGTACCACTTCTACTTCTACTTCTACTCCTGCTACTACTGCTGCTACTACTACTACTACTACTGTTGTTACTATTTACAGCCAAGAGTTGTCCCTGGATTTTGACTCCTGTATCAGCAAGATTTCATCTTGGATGTTATTCCATAAAGATTGGCATCAACACAATCATCAAACAACCAGCACTTTGTCAACAACAGCATCAGTGGAATTTTACCCAGCCAATCAGTTACAGACAAAGGTGTTGATTTTGTCCCAGAACAAAAATGGGAGGAGTTGACGTCAACAAAAGTATGAATCCACAAACGCATAAGACTCCTTCACACAATGAATACATATATATATGTATATACATGTATATATATATGTATATACATATATATTTATGTATATATATATTTGTATGTATATATATTTATAGATTAGTACTTCACCAGCATCAGATCGAACTATGGAAATTGAACGGCGTATTGGAACTTCAGCATCAACAAACCTTTAGATAGCATTGATTGAACGACGATAATCCAACAACAAAAACATATGGAACACAAAATGATGTGAATCGAAGAATCCAGATGCATCAACACGTTCCCAACACGCACACAAATGGCAATCAAAGCCCGGCATTGTGTCCAACTCAATGGGTAGCTTTGCGAACACATCAAGGAGTTGTTGATCATACATATACATGTGTATGTATGCACTAATATATATATATATATGTTTATATATATATATGTGTTTATAGATACATAAATAAATATATATATATATGCACAGTCCATATATGCCATGCATCATTATATCCCCTTGATTTTCCCGTTGTTTTCCCACTCTGTATCCCCGTATTTTTCCGGCGATTTTCCGACACAACTTTGATGGTACCTGGTTAAACGCCCCATTCTAGTTCATTCGTTCTCCATGATTTTCCCCTTTAAATCCACCTATTATACAGGATTTGCCAAGATTTAGAAGGTGAATCATGGTATCATTCCAAGCCATATGGAAACCTATCCATCAGATGTTCACATGACTTTCCATGATTCTACCAAGCACCTGCAAGGACATCGAGGGCTTCTATTTGAGCCCATGGTACACGCAGCTCCCAGCCGTAAACCACGAGCCTTGAAGCATTTTCTGGAGATTGATCCGATGTTCCGAACAGGAAACCATGGATTTTCAAAGATGGATGTTAGTTTACCCTAGGGTGCCATGTATTTACTATATTTACGATAGATTAATGGTAAATAGATTAGTTTAGATTAGACTAGACTATATCAGACTAGATTAGACTACTAGGCTATATTTAGATTAGATTAGATTAGTTTACATAGATATGATTTGATTAGATAGACCCTGAAAGATAGATAATCTTAGATAATTGTTACAGTAGTTAAATAGATGAATATAAAATATGTATATATATATATATATATTGGATAGGTAAATAGATGTAGATAGACTAATGGATGAATAGAAAAGTAGATGAATATATAATTATTTCAATAGATAAATAAATACACATATATATATATATAGAGAGAGAGAAGCGATTTTTGGGGTACACCCCATATTTCAGCCATTCCCAGGTATGACTCCTCTTGTCGACACCATGCAACCCCCAACTGAGGAACTCCGGCAAGACGCTGCGGACGGGGTCGATGGCAGCAACCCAACCAGCGAGGCAGTGGTCACTCTGCAAGGGACGCATGATGGCAGTAAACCTGGTGTCAATGGACTGGTGGATGGTAGGTTTTTCGTTGATATAATATCAATCCATTAATATTTTTCTTTCGGGAGGACCAATGTAATGGTATATGCAATGTTTCAGCATGTGTCAGTATGTGGAGTCAACCTTAATCAATCAACTCTGTAATCCGGGGTTGACATTCTATGGTGAAAAATAAAGTTGGCTACAGATAATATTTGACTCCTTGATCTGATGGGTTTTGCAGGGTCACATTGTTTTGGCATTTGTTAATCTGGTTGGTGGTTTGGAACATTTTTCTTTTTCCCATATATTGGGAATGTCATCATCCCAACTGACGAACTCATAGTTTTCAGAGGGGTAGGTACACCACCAACCAGTATTATATCCAATATGATGAAACAGTTATATTGATGAAAATGGTTCTGATATATCATGTTCAAACAGCATTTGATGTTCAAAGCATAACCTTCATGGCCTGTTGGGTTGATCCCCAACTGCCATGGATGCCATGGATGCCATGGTCCTGCTAAAAAAATACGGTACCCGATCACAACCGCTATTTAAGCGTGGGTGTTCCAACCCAACAACTGACTAACCACTTAGCCAGTCTCATTGCCTGTTTGCCAAGTGTTGTTTTAAGAGTTTGTTTGCGCCTCTGTAACATTGAATTTCATTTCTTAGTGAACCGATTGGCACTAATTGGTACGATTTTAAGTATCATATTCCATTTTGAATCCGTGCTGGGTACAAAAACTTAGCCATAAGACCGTCATGAATACCTGGTTAGCGGCTTGACACCTGTGGATTTCTCTTGTGATGACAACATATAGGTTGGAGGACCACACTGAGTTTCATCATTCGTTATTCTCCCCCATATTTTTGTTGTATGTTGTGGCCCGTGGGCGAACGATGATCCCTGCTTGGAACGATGATCCCCCAAGGACTGCCAGTCATCAAAGATGGAAACATTGGCCAACAATGATGGATCCATCTCTAGCTTGCAATCCAACACCATGAGAGTTTACATCAATATGAGTCATGTGAGTATATACAACGTATTCCCAGTCCCGATGCATGATAGTTGACTGTATGTCCACATAGGGCGGCGTGTGCTAATCTCAGACTCAGGATGTCCTTTGCTTTCGTCACCATGAATTTGTTGATGGAAGGCAGCCATGTGCTGCTTGGAGATAAATCAGCGGGAGGGGGAAGCACCATGTCCAGTGGCAAATACTCATGTTGCCACTCGGAAGAGAGGACATCATAAAAGTCATTACTTTCTTCGAGTGATCCCCACCATGACATTCTATCTGAAATATATTCCGACTATGTGACTATTTTTGATTTCTATTTTACATCTATTCTGACATTCTGTCTGACATTCTATCAGGCATTCTATATCTCATTCTATCTGACATTCAAGCTGAGATTCTATGTGATATCTTGAGTCACAATTTAGATCCCGCAGTGCCTTATGAGATCTGGCTCTCGCAGTTGAGACCCGGCAGTGCCCACTGAGATCTAGCGCTCGCAGTTGGGGTCCGACAGTGCCCACTGAGATCTGGCTCTCGCAGTTGAGGTCCGGCAGTGCACACTGAGATCTGCACTGCAGTGCCCACTGAGCTGTGGAGCTCGCGGTTGAGGGCGTAGTCCGAGGCTGCCGGAGGAGAAGGAGGAAGGAGGAGGCGGAAGCAACTCTGATAAAATCTAGAGACTATCACCTGCCAGGTGGGGAAGAAGATATTCATGTTTCAAGCAACATACGTTTCTTTGGGCGGGCTTCAGTCACCTCCAGATGCGTCAATGTGAGAATGCCAACCAGACTCAAAATGCTTGTAATGGACCATAAGAACTTGACCACCTAGACTTGTGGGATGAATTGTGCTGTGTACGTATGTATACTTTTCGGTTTTATAATATAAACAAATAGAATATGAGATGTTTTAGCATAACGTAATTTGACATAACACATTATTTAATATAACCTAATAGTTTAAACAAACATGATATGATTTGATATAACATATAACCGAATACTATAATGAAACATGGTATGATTTGATATACCGTACAACCTAATACTATAATGACACATGATATGATTTTATATAGCATATAACCTAATAATACTATAATGAAACATGAAATGACTCGATATAATATGTCCATACATATCCCATCATGGTGCTTTCTCATTAAACATCTCCATTATGCACAGCCATGACTGCCAGGTTGCTCTCAGGCCCGGCGGCTGTAGGGAAGAGCTTCACCGCCTCATCTGTGACTTGGTGGTGGGCTCGACGGGCCTGGTAGACGGTGGGAGATCAAAACAACATTCCATGGGGATTTCTATTTGGATATATGGGATATCTCTGGGGGATCTGTGGGATATCCATCAAACCAAGAATCAAGTGGGGATTGATCTTTGAAATGATGATTCAACAGTGGAAAATGTGCCGAACAGTAAGTGGTTTATATAATCTGGCTGTTGGTCTGGAACATTTTTTCCATATATATTGGGAATAATAATTCCAACTGACTAATATTTTTCAGAGGGGTTGAAACCACCAACCAGTAATCTATAAGCCATATAACTGGGGCATGCCATCTGACTCTCTGATTTGATGCTCACTTGCTTGCGATTCCTGGGATGCACTCACCGGTAATTCCAAGGGGTTTTTGAATGTTCGAACATGTTGGTACATTGATGGACATGGGTCCAAATTCAGGTAGCAATGGCCATGGACCTACAACTTTAGGCACGTTTATTTCCAAAACATTTTCTTGGTTCTAATAGTTTTAAGACCCATCCCAACTGGGGCCAAAGTGGATCTTTGGTCGAATTTATATGCCAACATCAGACAGTGGCTATACTTGGACCAGCCAAGTAGCCATGAAATAGTTAAAAATGCCACAAGACCTACCCCATTTTTCTAGGTACTTGGAGGGTATAGTCATAGAAACAAATATGATCAAATACAGGAACATGATGTCATTTGTGGTTGGCGAAAAGTCGGCCATCAGAGTCGCAAACGTTTTGTGGAATGATCCCTGTGTCCTTGACTCCACAGGCGGTTTTTCTTGCAAAAAAAATATTCCCTTGAAAAACATGGGCTAAGGGGTTGGTTTCTGGAATGATATTTTCTAGTTCGGTTTGTCCTCATCCCAAAACACTGTTGGCCCCTTTTCGCCATGAAACATGCCATTTCACGTCTCTCATATTCACCGGTGGACCGGTGGATTTTGGGTTACCGCATTTCCAGATGGACCCTGTACTATTGCTTACTTGGCGGTTCACTCCAGAGAACATAACCATATTTAACCCGAGTCAAAAAAGCGGCTTCAGTAGTATCAGTCCAGTTGGTAACTGGAGTTAGAACATGTTATAACACCCATTCACTGACCGGAGTTGACATTCAAGTACCATCTGGTTATTTAACATAGCCATGGAAAATCAACATTTTTAATAGGTACAGTAAACCATCTATAAACGGGCCATCTATATCATGGCTATGTTAAATAACCAGAGGATACTCCCTAAAGCACCAATAAAAACACACCGAGCCGGTGACCATTCAATGACCCCACTACCGAGCCGTTGCCCAGGCCGAACGATCCCTACGCACCCTGCAGAAGTGGAGCACAGTAGGTGCTGACGGAAAGATCGACGGAGATTTTGGAGGGATGGGCCGCTGGGTCATCCAAAAAAAAGGGCTTTGACTCAACCCACAGAGTTAGACACAAATGGCAGGTGGGGATAGAAATTCAGAGCATCTTGAGATGACCTGAGGTGAGTTCAGCTCCTCTGGCTCCACTCAGGTCCAAGTTGGTAACGATTGAATTTCCAGCCGTGGGATGAACCAGTATAAATTATGGAGGTTTCCTGAAATGGGCGTACCCCCAGTCAGCATCCATTTTAGATTGGGACTCGGGATTTTCCATTTTTATGAACAATCCATTGCGGTTGAACCGCGCTAAGTGATTGTGGTCCCTTTTTCGGGGGTCCCCCATTTATGGAAACCCCATGAAACCCCCATATACAGACATGAGACACCCATGTTGGCATGTTGGCACCTCGAGTCCCAGGACATCCCAGGTGCCCTGCAATCGAAGCTGGAACTTCTGTCAGGAAATTCATATCACAAAAGCCATGTTAATGTTTAGCCATCGGTGGGGAGTAGGTACTATAATGTTAACTACAATTAATGTTCATATATCAATCTACAATGTTCTGCTTTCCATGTTAAGTTTTCAGCGGAGTAGAAGTTCTCGTAGATGTTCTCGTCCCCCGACAGTGGGTGATTTTGATAGACAGGGAAGGTACTCCCCGACTAGACATAGGTTCTTCGAAAGGATATATTATCATTGAGATTCCTGTCGCCATTGTTGCTTGCTTGGGTTTGAATGTAGGGCACCCCCAAAATCCCACTGTTTACTACAATGTTTCCTTTATTTTTTTTTGGTATACCAATACCTAAATAAATAAGTAAACAAATAAATAAATTACTTTACTTCGTGTGATCCCCACCATGACATTTATACATTTCTTACTGGCAAATCTTCTGGCATTCTATCTGACATATCTTCTGACATTCTATTTGGCATTCTATCTGGCATATCTTCTGGCATA